ACCAGATAGCACTGCTATTTTTCCATCACTAAATGCAGTTTTGTTTTTATTGATAATTCTATTTATTGTAGCTTTTGCAAGCAAGTGACAGCATTAATTTTTTGCTATAAATATAATATTGCATTAATGAATATTATTACAGTCTCCATGAAAATGATTACTTTGTTATGAATTAAAGTTTATGATAATTTAGTCTCACATGATTAAGTGAGAAACAGGAAGGGAATACGCCAACTTTGCACACGATGAATTTTGTCCTGAAAGAGTGAAGGTGTTGATAAAACTTTGTAAATATAGATGGCAAAAAGCATCTGTTGAACCTAAATTTTGATTAAAATTATTATTATAGGCATATAAAATAACATCTTATGTTTGACGTAATACACAATAGTCTCTAGAGCTTTTGTTTCATCCCCTTTTGACTTCATCACAAAATAAATGTGTGATTTGACCTACTTGGTGGTAGAAGTATTCACCTGGAGCTCATCCAACTGAGAACTTGGCTCTAAATGAAGTGCAACTCCTCACTATCAGTCTTTATTGCTAATGGCCATGCTTATTCACATGTGTAGATTATTCATCATATGCTCTATGAGTCATATTCGGCGTCAAGAGCATATGGCACATCAATATCACTTCCTGTTTGTTATCTATAATGCAATTAATATGAGTTGGTGCAGCTATAAGACTGTTGACTGTTCACTTTAACTGTGTATAGCAGTTTTATCCAAGTTACTTTTGTTGGACCTTGTTTAATAATTGAGGTAGAATTGAATGTTTCTAACTAAGATGTATGATGTATCTATAGAAGATGCCAAAGACACGAGCTAAGACAAGAAAAGTTGACAGGAGGACCCTAAGAAAAAAAAAATTTCATCATTTGGGAAAGAAAAGTTGGGAAAAGGTATGATTTCATGTAACTCTGTGTTAGTTAAGCATAGCTAGTGGATGGGAATGGTCTATAGAAGAGTTGCAGGGGAAGTACATGTAATTAAGGAGAGCAGTACCCTTTCCTATACGCCTATGGCGTCGGTGAGGGCAATAACGAGAGTTGTGGCTCATTGTCAATCATCTTAAGTGGAATTGAAGGAAAAGTCTTGTTATGAGATGAAGTAGTACTATTAATAGCAAGCCAAACAGCTATTTTACTTATTGCATGACTCCTGAATGGATAGACTTTTTGTAACTTGTAGCACCACTTTACTTGTTGCTACAGCTAAGTATTTGGTTGTTTTATACTTGTATATCTAATTGCCATCAGCTGTTTTGCAAATGTTTTTGAAGCTTTTGTGTTGGGGTATGTCTGTTTTTTACGATTGGTAGAGTATGTCATTAAATTTAAAAACCATGATTATAGAGGGAGGAAATAGTGTTCAAATGCACTATTTCCTTCCTACATAATGGTGTCACTAGGCACTATTATACACATATACAATTTGACCTATCTATGTAGGCAGAAATTAGTACCAAGCACTATTTTGTCCCTACAACACTATAGGGAAGAATTAGTGCCTGCTGCACTATTTTGTTCCTACAATACTTAAGGGAAGAATTAATGCTTGCTGCACTACTTTGTCTCTATAATACTATGGGGAAGAATTTGTGCCCTCTGCACTTTTTTTCAAAATGTAACAGCACTTTGTTTCCCTCATATACTGTA